AGATTTGATTTCAAGGAGGTGCGTTAAAGCTGCAGAAATGCTCATGAAAGGTTTGGCAGTGCATGCAGTCAAATTATAGTAGTGCAGTGTTTTGTTTTGTTTCTTTTCCCCCCTTTCCCCCTCCTCTTAAGTGAAAGTCATGCCAGTACAAGCACATGCACGATGTGATGTACACACAAAGGTTAAATCTAATGTAAACATCTGAGCCACTCTGGAGTGCCGTGCTTGGCTTTTGCTTCCTAAATTAAAACACGTATTTTACGCTTATGTTATTTCTTATTTAATTTTGGTAAATACATGTTATGTTATTTGAATTTCTGCAGCTTTCAACAAACTATCACTTTACTCACCTAAAACTTTATTCAAAAAGAGGTTGGCATAATGGATAAAGAAGTATTATGGGAAAGGAGACTAGAGATTTGCATGTCCTCTATGACTGGCTTTGTGCTTGTATATGCAATTTTTATTTTACCGTTTTCTTTCTTTTTCTTTTTTTCTGTACCACCCTTCAGCAGCATATCATATTTCTAACATCTGCAGCCGTATTAAGTGCCAACTGTCTTTGTGCCATATATGTTGGCACACACATGTGCACAAAGGCTTTTTCACTGATACCAGAATACTAATTCTATAATTGGGTGCTAATGAGTGGTTGACGTATGTGAAGACTTAAAAGGGATTAGCAGTTGGCAGCCATTCACTTAGCCATTCTTTCCATAAGTTCTTGTGGACGCTGCTGAGAGCGTAATAGCTGTGATAATGTATGGTGTGAAACACTGTGTGGAGTGATGGCATACCTTATCTACATTTAACCCGCAAGCTTTGGCTTGAAGTTGGGGAACAAGTCGTCAAGGTGACTTGTTCGCAAATGAGAATATATTTATTTATTTATTTATTAACCCGCAGAAATTCATTTGAATAAATGAGTTACAGGAAACGAGAGCTAAAACTGTTGACTTGCATGATTTTTAGCCTTGATTGGCTAAAATGTGTCAGCTGATTTATGCTGCATTTCCTCTTCCTCAGAGCAAAGAGCGAGGTTCCACCAGAGTGCACTCTCTGAACAACGTCAACAAAGTACTTCAAGTCCTACATCAAAACAATGTGAGTACTTCCTGTTTGGTGGCAAAGCTGTTGTGCATTTGTCATTTTCTGCCACGTGCCGTTAAAGAAGAGTCTGTTTCATTTCAGCCTCATAAGATAATCAGAAATAAGGAACTATATTGAACTGTGAAATGATGTCATGTTGTATTTTGTTGAAGTAGAAACTCCCAAACCCTATGTCCACACTGCACATTTACAGTCATGGTTGCACTGTTTTTGATTCAAACCAGTAACTCTTCCTCTAATTATACAAAGCTCCTTATTCTCCTGTGGCCTCTGAATTCATTTCATACACAAGTAATTTTCTTGTGTATTTTTCTTTGTCCTTCTGTCTCCTTCGCTGCTTCATTTCATCATCCCTCCTCCTACTTTCTGTGTCCAACAGTTGGTCATAATGCCTTGACCTCAGCAGTGGGAGATAAGGGGCAGCGCAGGCTCATGGGAAGCAGCAGAGACTGAAGTTTGCATGCAAATCCTGCTGCTTTCACTCTTGCAAGAGGCAAAATAAGTGTCAACTGGCCAAAGTTTCCACAAGCCTGAACAGTGGAAACATATTTGAAAACAATTAAAAATTTTCCCATGGAAGGCACAACTCTGCAATTGGATTTAGTCAGTTCATGTTATTATTATTATTATTTTTCGGATGGAGGGTACTTCAGGAGACAATACTGCGAGTTTTGGAGTGGGTGATGACTATTTGTGCGTGTCTGCTCTGATGCATATGTGAGGCTTTGTTTCATGAGAGATGTGGATGGTGTGGCAGCATGAGGCTAATTGGTACTAGATAGGTCAGAGGACAGCTCTGCATAGAACAAGAAAGGACACTTCATAACTTGACCAGACACATGACCTCATGTTCCACTGTGTGCCTTGATCCTCTCCACAATATTTATATATAATCAGTTCACACTTGGCCTTAGTTCATATGATACATGTCTGATGAACCTGCAGACCTCACTTCACCACTGGGAGGCTGTAATTAGGGTGGCATAATCTGCTTTGTGGAGACAGTTGACTGGGTGGAAGTGTTCAGCTTTAACACTGATGGCTCATTAAGATGTAAAGTAATATTACTCAGCTGCATAAGAAAACTCGAATCCCATTTCAAAGGAGAGCTCCTCTGGTTTTACTCAGGAAGTGTGTTTACAGGTTCTGCCGAGTGTTACTGAGCATAACAACTCGCAGTAAGCTTTTTATGGTCCCACACATATCTTTGGGAAAGCTGATTAATTTCTTCAAGTCACTCAGTAGAAGTATTAATACCATTTCAGAGCAATAGCTTCAATTTTTAGGATTAATATGTTCCCCATAAGAACACATTTTCATATATTTGAACGTTAATAACCTGCAAGCTCAGAAAGTAGAAATCATAAATGTTTATTTGGTTGCTTGTGATATTTTTAGCAACTTGGTCTGCCCTCCTTTCAGGTGGATCTGGTAAACATAGGAGGGACAGATATTGTGGATGGGAACCACAAGCTGACATTGGGCCTCATCTGGAGTATTATCCTTCATTGGCAGGTGAGCAGGGTGCACGCACACACACACACACACACACATACACACTTCTGTTTGCTAACCCTGGGATCTAAAAAACAGATGATGGAAAATCAGTATTGATGTTCACACATGCGTGTATGCATGTAAACATGTATATCATCCAGTGCTTTGTGTGCTCAACCTGCTGGCGTAAAACAGCTCAAGAGGTTCTTTCATAAGGTTTGAACCTTACCAGTTTTTTTTTTTCCAACATTTGTTTTTCATTACTTTCATTATTGTTAGTTAATGTAACAGATGCCACATGCATTTTTTTTTTTGTCTTTTGTTCGGGTGTTAGACATGGTGTCGGTTTTATTAACTGCATTATTTTTTATATAACTACAGCAATCCTTATCCTTTTAGGATAAAAAAATATGGCTAATTTAATGTGCATAGAGTTATTGAGAAAGAGGTTTTTATTGCTGATGCTCCTATTCAATGTGCCCACCTGCTAATAAGAGAATCAATACAATGATTCTGCTGACTTTCAATAGAAGGAGTGATCTATTCAGACAGAATATAGAAACTACTGTTTTGAATCAAAATGTGGGCGTACAGGTTTTTGCTCTTCATTAATCACCCACATGAAAACTCCTCTTTCAATGTACATGTCTCTCTTTAGGTGAAAGACGTCATGAAGGATGTTATGTCCAACCTACAGCAAACCAACAGTGAAAAGCTCTTACTGAGTTGGGTACGACAGTGCACCCGCTCTTACCCGCAAATCAATGTGTTGAATTTCACCACCAGCTGGGTGGATGGCCTAGCTCTAAACGGCATACTTCACCACTTCAGGTGAGGAATATGGGGACGCTCAGCAGGTACTTTAGCAATAAGTGTGGACATACTGCTATTACCTGACTGGTACAAACAAAGGAGCATTGGGACCACATTAAGGAAAAAAATATGTAGCTGTTCATTTCAAGAATAAAGTAGAAAGAAACACGCAGACTTGGAGGAGTCAGCACAGATACTGATGGTCACAGCCTTGTGCAGTAGAGAGGATGTATGTTTTATCACAAGGCGCAATAAGATCGCTGATAAAGTTGTCTCATGCTGTAACTCAACTTCACAAAGCATTTTGTAAAGGGTATAGCAGCTGTGGCAGTAGCCTGACTTGAAATGACAACTTTAATCCCCACATCTCGGCTTTATTCTCAAAATGAACATTATATACATATATAATACTCATCGTAGGTAAAAGGCTGCAAGTCCAGGTCATGCAATTGTGTTTTGTTACATTAAGTCTAAATTATATTGATGACCAATTTTTGCGTGATTGCATTGTTTTCCACACTTGCAAGCGTGCAGCAGCCTTCTGTTGTAGTATGTGTTGCTGTGAGGTGAATTTACTGTTGAAGTTAACGTAGTATGGCATGTACCCTTTAGATACAAAGTTGTGAAGAAATCAAGGACATTTAAAAAAAAAAAAAGTTTAGGACCTTTTTTGTGCATGTATATGAGAGAGAGAGAGATGCTGTGAGGATACCCAAGCTGTACATGTGGGTGAAGATCAGGTTGATAGGTCAGCGCCTGCAGGGTGTGTTGATACTGCTTGGCTTGTTCGTTTACGCCTGCCATGTTACTGTTTGCATGTGTGTGCATGTGTGTGCGCGTAAAAGAAAGAGGGAAAGAATTGTCTGGGGTGTTTTCCCCTTTCTTTTAATCCCTTGTTCTTACTAGTGACATGAACACACACATACAGTCTAGTGTTGGTTTAGACCTTGGGCTAGGGTTTAAAGACATTCCACACACAGCTGGCCTCAATGCACAGATCAGGGAAGACCTTTGCCTATACACAGGGTTTGTAAATGTTTCAGATATCTATGAGCTAATTTCTACATTAGGTGTATAGATGGATAGAAAAATCAATGTATTGTCAAAAAAATAAATCAAATCTTTACCCCTGGCAAACAGTGAACAAGAGTTTTGAATTGTCTCAGGGTATGCAGCTACCCTTGGAAAACCCAGAAACGACTCATAAAACCTTGTCTTTATTGATATGTACTGAGGTTTCAAAACTTATCACTACGGGTAAAGGGGAGGTCATCAAATGTTGTCTTTATGGGGGAAATGGTAAAAAAAACAAAAACAATGTTGCACTCAGAGGAACGCATATGTTCCTCTGAGACATATGCGTTCCTGTGTGCGCTTTCAAAAAGATAAAAACATCAGCAGCACCTGGCTTCAGGTTTTGGATTTTGTCTACATCATTCTACTTCAAGTGTTGCTCAAATTCTGACCTCTTCTGACCTTTAAAGCAGATGAAGTTGTGCCACTAGGCTCTTCACTGCTTCTGCACGTTTGTAGTTTCTGATGTATAAAGTAGCCATGATATAAAACTGTGTCTTCTATTGGTGCGGTTCTGTGTGTGACTTCAGGCCAGATGCTTTTAGCTGGGATAAGGTGGTCACGATGAACCCTGTGCAGAGACTGGACCACGCCTTCACTTTCGCCAAAGACCAGCTGGGTATTGAGAAGCTGCTGGATCCTGAAGGTACTGTTGTTCTGAGCTATTCTGAGCACATTTGTGACTCAGGTAAATATTATAGGAATGTTTTTAGATGTAAGTCTAAGAATTGGCACCTGCATCTGCTTTTTATAGCACTTGGTTATGGATTGACATAAATTTTACTGGCCAAAATCCCCACATAGTAAAATACAGTCTGCATTCACAAACCTTCCCTTCATGTCCTGCCAGCAGTTGGATAAGCTCAGAGTGAAGAAGGATCTTGATGTTGCTTTGGCTGAACATCTGTAACAAGCTGAACCCTTACTTACTTGCTTGAGTTGTCCAAGTCAGACGCCTGTTTTTATGTCATGACTGAGGAGCAGTCACACCTGACCTGTACTGAAAGCATATTTAATTAGTACATCTTGTCTTAACCTGGCATTTTGTTCGGCTCTCTCACCGTCCTTCCCATCTAATCTCCTTCTGTCAGCCTTAACGGCTATCGCGCCCTATCTGCTACGCTTCTGTTCTACTCATGCAATTTTCACCTCTGTATCCTCTCCTCTTTCTCTCTCCACTCTCTCCCTCCTGCCTGTCACGCACAGTTTATATCTCTGATCTTTCTGCCTTACATCCCTCTCCCTAACGCCGTCTTGCTCTCTTTATCATTCACAGACGTGGCAGTGCAAGTACCAGATAAGAAGTCCATCCTCATGTATATAACATCGCTTTTTGCCGTGCTGCCGAAAGACGTGAGCATGGAGGCCATCAAAGAAGTGGAGACCCTCCCACGCAAATATAAAGTGGAGTCAGAAGACTCAGGTCCAGGACTCGGTGCCCAGGTAAAATCTAGAGTAGAGCTGTCGTGACATGTAGGAACAGGAAGGTGCAAGCCAAGCTATTAGGTTTAGGGCAGAGGTGTTGGACATGTCAGGTTTGACCTAAACATAAAGAGAAATTGAGAAAAGTATTTTTCAGAACAAAACACACATAAGTTTCAAAAGATGTAAAGTTGGAGTTTAGCAAAATCAAAACTCAAACTAGATTCCGTTTCAGAAACGGGCCCTGCATGCATTTCAGTCAAACAGCTTCAATTATGTAGCATCCGTTCACATCAGTGGTCCCTCAAGGCAATTAATATTATTAAGATGCTACAACTTTAGAGGTAGAAGCCCAGCAAATCAACAAATCTCTTTGAGCACTTGGCACAGCGGAGAGGGGAAAAAAAGAAGCCCTCTTTAAGAGCAAGAACTTTCTGAGCAGCTCAGAGATGGTGGATATCTGTTTGGGGTTCATCTTAATCCATAACTGTTTGCTGTGAATGTTCATCAGCAGATAATCCAAATAAAGCAAAAGTCAGTATTGCTTTAACTTGATTTGCACTGACTCTGGCTCTTTGTGTTTAAGTAAGATAGTACCATTCACTGTTTCTTTGACCTCATGTCAGTCTACAGAGAAGGAATTTACCTCCTTGTTTTATCTTATGATCATAAAACAAGAATCACTGAAGGTGCTTCAAAGTAGCTGGTTATTGCTATATTATCTCCAGACGTTGCCTGTCTGAACCTTGATGAATTATGATGATATAAACAACTGTTATCTTTTTTTTCTTTTCTATGAATGCAGGAATGATAGTCCAGCTCCTTTTTTAAAAAAACAACTGAAAATCTTGAGTTGCAAAAACTGAACAGCTCCAGCTTTTGCTTTGCTGCTGTGCTCCATTTCTGATCATCATGTTTAGTTTGAAGGCAGCAGATGTTGCTACGTGCAAGCATGAGGAATATTGTCATAAGGAATAGTGTCTTATTGTATGTTGCCAGATACAGTGAGTCACTCTGAAAAAGCAGCCTGCTTCATTCTCTCCGGCACCGCTCATGAAAGGCACAGCAAGCGCAGAGAAATGGGGAGCAGAGCCATGACTCACCCCTCTGACATTATCCAACAGGCCGAGCTGCATGGTGGAAACGCAGAGCTGTAAAAGGATGGAAGGAAATAGGGGAGTAAATTGGTGAGAATGGGAGTGAGTGCAGATAGCTGAGAGAAAAAGAAAAGGTTGTTACAACATTAAAGTCAGGGTGCTGTGCAGTGCAGTGTCACCGTGATTTCAGTAGTTTTTCTTCAGCATTTCACAAACTACTGATTGGAATCTGTTTATAATTTGCTTTATCCTGTTAACTGTGATTTGACAACTCCAGGTACTTTAAAAACTAATAATAATAATAATAATAATAATCTTTGTGTTTTGAAAAGGAGTTTGCTGATATTAATTAAAAGTTAAGTATGCATTTTCGCCTTGTTAGCTTTTCATCCCCTCCCAGCTTGTTGGATTGGTCAATCACATATAGCTCTGGGGCATCTCTCATTTAAGAGGGTTTTTTCTGGTTTTTGGTCAAAAGTCAGAAAACCCCCAAACCACCTCTTAGGTTGTTTTATTGCCCATGGGCACATACTTCACACGCCCCTGGAATGAGTCCTGGAACAGTCTTTTTTTAAATAGTGTTCTGATTGGTCCAACAAAGGGTTTACTTTCCTGGCTCGCTTCCTCTCTGCATAGGAACCAATGTGTAATACTGTTGCTGCTGGGAGACTGAGTGTAGTTAAAATAAAGGGCTCTTTGTATTTCGTAGCTTCAATATGGTTTCCCACTTTTCTTTTACATTCATAATTCATACATACATAATTTTAATCTGATTTGTTATGAGAGTAGTTTTCGGTATTGATGATACTTTGAAACATACTGAGAGATCCTCCCACGATCGCCTTCATTTTGTAATATCATTGATAATTAGAGAGCTGCTGGTGTGTGGTAGCGAATTACATGCTCTGCGGTTACAACTGCAAATGTGATGAATGCATAGACGGAGGTGAGCAAATCATTTAGTGATAATAAAGTGTTCTGTTGAGCCAGACCACAGCTATTTTACAGCCATTCAACTCAATAAATGCAGCAAGGCTGCAGTTTTCCCTTCTCTCTCACTCTCTCTCCTCTTTATTTCTCTCCCTGTCGCCCTTCTTTGCCATCCCTCATTGATGTAACATAAGGGCTTACAGTTCTTTTGTCACTTATTCCAAAAATATCCAAAAGGTCATTGAATATTTTCAGCAGGTGACCTTTCCTGAGTTTGTTGCACAGGCATTACCACTGTATAATTTCAGCCTGGAAAACAAAAGTCTGTTTGATTTGTTACTGCACACCCATTACCATTTCTGTCATCTTTGCCTCGGCTGCCATTGTGGAGATTTTATCTGGAGTTCAGCTTCATTCAGATTTGTTGAGCAACTTTAAAGTTTCTTTACAAGACTAGGAGCCTGGAATAGTTTTGTCTGTGCAGTCGGTTATAAAGGTGTTGATTTTGTTGAAGTGTAGTTTTTTTTTAGTGATGGTTCAGTTTGATAAAGGTTGGTAAAGTTCTTCTTCTTCTTTTAAAGTGTAGAATTAATGTTAATGTAATTTTCCCAGTCCTTCTGCACTGCACATCCAACTTTATCTTGGTTAATGCTGTGTTTCAGACTTACTGCTGTTCCCAAAATAAGATTTGACCTGCCCACTTCCCACCATCCCATAATTGGCTTGCAGTCTTTCTTTTTTTCCCCCTTTGCTGAACAGGGCAGGTCGCACTGCGTGCTCAAGAGCAGCACAACCCCCTTCTAGATGTCTGGGTCTATTTTAAAACTTGCCAGCTGATGTGTGCAGATGAGCACAGAAGACAAACCAAAGTCTTGCTTCGACTTGTTATGTTTCATAGGCGTCTTTGTCTTATGAATGTGGCACACTGGGAAATTAAAAAAAAAAAAAAAAAAAAAAAAAAATCCTTTTTATTTTTACTGTACACTATGGCCTGTATATTTACAAAATATAAGCTAGTCCTTTCAATCAAGTGTTGTACTGCTTTCAGTAATATTTCCTACTTATTAGGTAATGATCATGTTTATAATTTGGTCAAACCTTGCCTCATGTTTCTTAGACTGTACAGACAGAGGAGGCAGGCAGCAGTCCCCGGCCCGAGACCCCCAGCACCATGACTGAGACAGAGGGTGAGATGAAGGGCGGCCTGCTGGAGGGGGACCTTGACACCTACCAGACTACGCTAGAGGAGGTTCTGACTTGGCTGCTGATGGCTGAGGATGATCTACAGGGTCAGGACGACGTTTCGGACGATGTGGAAGAAGTCAAAGAGCAGTTTCACACACATGAGGTAAGAAGACACAACAGTACTGTTATTTACTTTTTGGAATTCATTTGTGAGTCCTGAAACAGTAAAAAAACCAAAAATGGATTGGACTGAGACGTCACATTCAGGAGCATCAATTTTACAATAAATGGTGACACATTTAGGCTGTCGCTCTCCAGAGAGACTGACAAAAGTATCCCACAGACAGAGGCCTCCCACAAACAGCAGTGCATGCCTTTAACATGTTGAGAATGGCAGGAATTCCATGGCTAACAGTGACACACTGCACTCCATGGTGCCCTGGCCCACAGCTTACTTCCTTGCTCGACAAGGCTTAGTTACATCGTCTCTGTCGGTGCATGTGTGTAAAGGGGCTTTGGCTGGATTCCCTCGGCTGAACTGTGAATATTTGTGAAGTTGAATGCCTGGAATCCAGGTCAAAGCTGAAATCTGCTATGGAGACAGAAAGCAACAGGATTGAAAGCTGCTTTAACAGCCAGGCTTTTCAGAAAGTCTACAAAAATCAATCCAGTTTGTTTCAGCCTTGTTTCCCTGACTTACTCCAGTTTCGCCAGTAAAGCTTAGTCAAAAAACAAAGGCGTTAGAGGTGCAGTTGAAAATGCTTACTCATCCAGAGAGCTCCCTGTAATGGACAGCAACTCAGTTCACTGGCTTCTCCACAGCTACAATGAAATAAAAACAACCAAACATTAGCTTTTGCATTTCTTCTTCAAACCTTTTATGCTTCTTCTTTTTTTTTTGGATGGCTTTGGTTTGCTAATTGACAGCCCACCCCTCGATTTGTGCTCACGCTTTGTCTTGTTGCTACAGCAGCACTTAAATATGAGGGTGCTACGGTACTGCTCAGTGCTTCTGCAGGGCATTATTAACATTAAACCTAATGACGGAAGGGCATCCAGATGTTAGCATGTGTCTGCCAAGTGCTAACAAACAGGCTCAGATTATAAAGGCTTATTATGAGTGCTGCGTGTTCATGTTCCCAGGATGCAAACTGTTTCATAGACAGAGATTTTTCTGTTTATTGTTTAAAATTGTAACCACTTACTACTCTTTCCTTTCAAGACATTTATGATGAAACTGACAGCGCGTCAGAGCAGTGTGGGTTATGTGCTACAAGCGGGTAACCAACTGATTGCTCAAGGCAACCTAACAGAAGAGGAAGAAGATGAAATCCGGGAACAGATGACCCTCCTCAATGCCCGCTGGGAGGCTCTTAGAGTGGAAAGCATGGACCGTCAGGCCAGGTAAACAGAGACATACCTGAATCGGTCTTCTGGAGTTGTTTAAATGTCCCTTACTGATTCATCTCAGAAACGGGTAAAGGACATTTCTGTTTCAGGACAAATCTGACTATAAACCTGAACATTTTATGGTCTAGCGTGCAGTGTTATCAAGCCATCAGTTTATGCTGTAAAGAATGGACAGGGGTGCAAGTTGCCAGACATGACACATGCTGAGCGTTGAGCTACCCAAGGTCTTACGATTTGCACTCTCAGCTTGTGTCATCAAGGTTTACGACACACACACACACAAACTGCACACAAGTTGTGTTCATGATGTACGCTACATTTGTTGACCCTGAGCTTTTTTAGCCACAGCGTTTGTCTTCCTGTGTTGTTGCAGTTAAATCTTAAAGTCCTAAAGTTTATGAAATTTACGGCTTACATATCCTTTCTACCTTTATGTGCTCACTTTACTGCCCTTCTGCCTATCGCTTTCTTTCTCTCCAGGCTCCATGAAGTCCTGATGGATCTTCAGCAGCAGCAGCTGCAGCAGCTTTCTGACTGGCTGACACAGACGGAGGAGCGAATCAGGAGAATAGAGACACAGCCAGCAGCAAAGGACATGGAGGCCTATAAAGAACAGATAGAGCAACACAAAGTGAGGACAGTTTACCGTTAACACTTAATATTAAAACACTTTTGCATGGGTAAATACTTCATTGTTGACAGTGTCAAGTAAAATGCCAAAAAAGTCCCAGTGCATGCATGCAGCTCTTGTTCTAAAACAGGCTGGTCTTGTGATCATTCCTTCCCGTTTGATTGTAATCTTTCATGAGTCACGATAAGGCTGAGTAGCTTCTCTGCTTGCTTAGTTAATTGCAACATATGACTGAATTCGCTGTTTGTGTTCCTGCACAGGAACTCCAGAATGACTTGGAGGCGGAGCAAGTAAAGGTCAATTCTTTAACACACATGGTGGTCGTGGTGGATGAGAATAGCGGTGAGAGTGCCACTGCTGCCCTGGAGGAGCAATTACAAGTAAGTTTTTAGGCTTTGAAGCTGATTGGCCAGCAATTTATC